TGAGCTCCATACTCCTGTGTTTGGGCCCCTTTGGCCCCTTTTCTTTTTTTCTGGGGGAGAGGTGCCAGAAAGAGAGAGAGAGACAGAGAGATAGAAAGCGAGAAATCACCTCCCCCAGGGCGGATGGCCACACCACAATCCCTTCTCCTCCATTCTCCTCTCGGGATCTTGGGCACGCACGCACACGCGCCTGGCATGAGTTTAAGCTATCAGGTCCGGGACACGAACCGCGATCAACTACATGGGAGTCCAGTGACATAGCTATTATGTCAACTGCTGGTCCGCTCATCTTGCACAAGGTGCCACCAACTGTCCCGTGGCCAACACCTGTGAGGCATCCCTGCTCCTTAAGGATATTCTGAGCTCCATACTCCTGTGTTTGGGCCCCTTTGGCCCCTTTTCTTTTTTTCTGGGGGAGAGGTGCCAGAAAGAGAGAGAGAGACAGAGAGATAGAAAGCGAGAAATCACCTCCCCCAGGGCGGATGGCCACACCACAATCCCTTCTCCTCCATTCTCCTCTCGGGATCTTGGGCACGCACGCACACGCGCCTGGCATGAGTTTAAGCTATCAGGTCCGGGACACGAACCGCGATCAACTACATGGGAGTCCAGTGACATAGCTATTATGTCAACTGCTGGTCCTTTGGCCCCTGTTCTTAACAGTAGCAGCCACTATGCTCGCCATGTATCCAACCCCGGAATTCAGGCAGAATTTAGAGATGATTTCAGTAATCTTCATTGATTGCTGTCGGGGCCCATAAAATACAGTCCTTAATCGTCATGGCAATTGGGGCAGCCAATTTGAAAAATAATTACTGCCTTCTTTGAGATTGCTTTGCCTTCTAATTAAAATCTCAAGACTGAGATATTAAAGGTGCGTTGTCAATACAATGTCCCGGATGCACCCAGCTAACCTCATTTGGGAAGGTAAAATTAATTAGTTTGTGTTTTAATACCCAGCTGTTATCCTGAGGAAAGAAACAGTCTACAAGTCGGCCATGCAGACAGTCTCTAAATTGGCCAGAGCGACTGAGGAGATGTAAAGGAAATCGAGAGTGATTTGTTCCTGCATCAGTCAGTCAGCTTCCATTACAAGCTGCTCATTAAATGGCGCCCCTGTGTCCCTGTCAGGCGACGTCGCTAAGGAGTTCTTGTTTACCCGTTAGAAGCCGAAGAGGAAATAAGTGGGTCCCACCATGCTCCCGAGCTCGCCATCCATTCTGGAGCCTCAGTTGCTCCTAACACCTCTCCCACTTGACTTTTCTGGGTGAATAGTTTGGCACAGAATCCGAGAGGCCAGGCGTTTCTAAGCCTGTCCCAGCTGGCCACCATTATAAAGCCACATGCTAGCTTCCCCCTTCCTTCCTTCCTACGTTTCCTCAGTTTTCAATTTCATTTGAGTCCAAGATTTGCTGAGTTTAACAGCCATCGAGATAATCAACTCTGGTCTATGCTACAGTAACAACCCCCTGGGACTTTGGTGGCTTAGCCCAACACAAGTTTCATTCTTGGGGCCAGCAGGTGGTGGAGTGCTGCTGGACCCTCACACATGTGTCCTGCAGCCCTGTGAGACCCAGTGCTGGGACAGACAGACTCCCAAGTGACCGGAGGTGCCCACAGGGTCACGCTTAGCACAACCCAGAGACCAGGGCCAAACT